AACAATTGTATATAACTAAAAATGTATGAACTCACCAACACAAGTCACCACATCCTGGTAGGCCGTGTCATTGACTTTCTTGGTAGTCTTGACCACAGCAGCAAATATGCTGTCACACGTGTCACACCGGCGACCTATGACCCCTTCATAACAGTTGCATTGACCTGTTGCCGGGTTACAAGTCATGTCCTTAGAGCCCAGCTTATAGCAGTCACATGGATAGCAGGTATCACTGTTGGGAGGTAGGTAATGCAGTGTCTGGGAATAAAAAACATGAACAATTTAGAGAGAAATGCATCACCAGGGCAGGTGAAAATTAGAGTTTGGCTTGACTAAAATTCTTAATATCTGGATATTCACACCTAATCTCACTTTACAGGCACATGTCCCAGATATTCACAACTAATCTCACCTTACATGCAAATGTCCCAGATATTCAAACCTAATCTCAATCACCTTACATGCAAATGTCCCAGATATTCAAACATAATCTCACCTTACAGGCTTATGTCCCAGATATTCACACCTAATCTCACCTTACAGGCACATGTCCCATTGTCTTTGTTACATGTCTGTTCAAATCCTTTATCCGCCTTACAGTTACAAGGTCCACAGATGGGTTTACCCCACCAGCCTGCCGGACAGGTCGCAGGTGCCTGATTCTCACAGTACTTCCCACTTTGCCGCATACCACATTCGCAGGTGTATGTGTTTTGTCCCTGCAATGGCTGTTTGCATTCAGCCCAGTTTTTACAGGGGTTGAAATTCGTGCATATCTCCAGACACTGGGGGCCAGTGTTTCCTAAAATATTGAAAAATATTATCAACATTAAAAGACTCATTTTTCTAAAAGTTTGAACTTTTCACCTTTCTGAGATAATTTAAAGCATTTTAGGGTGTGTATTTGTATTGTGAATACGATACAATTTTGTTTGGTCAATTTAATTGAAAGATGAAAGTTTCTAAAAAACAAGTTTATAGTCACAATAATACTACATCAAAACACAAGTGTATAGTCACAATAATACTATATCAAGTACAGGTATGATCAATAGACTCAATGCTTGATGACTGGAGGCAACTCATGTACACAAAGTTCCTGGAGGGTAAAGATACTGATCAACACCTCACACATTAGACTGACCAACTCCACACACATTAGACTGACCTGCAGGGCACAGACAGATGTGATTGTTCCACTCATCAACACACTGACCAACACCACACACACTAGAAGTACACACAGGGCTCTCCGTGCAGCCTTGGTCAACAGCAGGTTCTATAGGATTCTGGAGAGAAGACTGCGCAGAGTTGCCCACCCTGAGATCCTGAAAGACATTTGAACATATTTTAAAACATGCATTTCTTAACTTTGAAATTGCATTGACCACCATCATACCAGCTACGAAGTACTGAAATTTCTACTTAGTACTAAAATGCAGGTGTTTTTTTTAATACCCTAAATGAAACATTGACATATGTATGTTACAATATGCAGTTACACGCATTTGTGTTAGCTTCCTATATTATATATCTATAAGGTCCCTTCTTTAGCGTTCATCAAATTTGAACATATATATACATATGCTTCCTTTAATATCCAGCAAAATGAAATTTAAAAAATAACTTTGCAGCTATCCTTTTATATCCATACATGCACAGATCATCTTAGATTCCATTCATTGACAGTACATTACAAAAATAAAGAGCTTCTATAAATAGTAAAAAACAAACAAGACAAACCGACTCCTTGTAAAAATACAAGCCACAAGCACCGCATGAGAGACTCAATCATTAACGGCAAGTCCACCAAGACGTCCTACCTTAACACATCCAGTCAAGAAATTGGCCATCGGTTTGTTGCCGTCTCTTGACGCTCCCACGTATATCAGAGTGACATCTTTACCCATAATTGAAGTTGTGACATTTTGAAATTTCTGAAATTGTTTCACAACAGCCATTTTAACTATGCCGTTTGTTTCCGATGATTTGCTCCACAAACAAGACGAGCCATTTAAAAAAAATATACCTACAAACAATTTAATTTTCAGAAAATTAAAAATAATCCATAAAGTCCCTCCTGGTCTGGTATGGTACAAGGTTCAATCAATATCTAGTCTATGTTCAATTCAAACTGTTTTTTATAAACAAATTACTTTCAATCAGCAAACTTTAGTAAAGATAGATGCTTACAAATATTAATGGAAAGATATTTCCAAACTATGCTTCTTTGTACAAAAATATGTTCATTTATGTACAAAAATATGTTAATTTTTTTATTTGGTGGTAACCTAACTTGTAAACTATAGGTTTAAGCAGGTCATGAA